TTCTGGTGATTCCTTAAGGTTTCATATTTCCTGCCTTTGCTGGTAGCAGTCTCTTCTCCCCTGCTGCAGCGTGAGACCCTGCATGCAGCAGCAGTGGGAAATGTCACTAGGCAGACAAACAAAACTATTCACAAAGTTGGTAACACCTGAGAAACAACCTGCCTTCCAGGCTCACAGAAGTAAAGCTTTCCCTTTTAGTTATAGGCAAAAGAGAGTGATGGTCTGCAGCTCTGAACAGGGTTCAAGGCATCTCAGCTCCTCATGCTATCACAGATGTTTTCTCTTGTGACCTCTGGCAACTTGCCTAATCTCTCCCTCTGCCGCTTAGCCTGTACAATAGAGATAGCACTTTAATTTGCCTGACTTCAGGGTAGTGCTTGTCTCTCACTGTACTGTCCTCTGCTAGAGGAGTTATACTGAGTTAGATTTCAGTTGTGTAATGTGAATAAAACTAGCTGTATCTGCTTAAGGGTTTCCAGGTTTGAGGGGAGCAATAGAAGCAGAGTAAAGGTAGCACATGGGTGGAATCACCTAATATGAAGTGCTTCAGTGGAGCAGGACCAGACTGGAAACCAGCAGCTAGACCACTGACCTAGAATATGGAAAAATCTAGATTAAATTTTCTCCTCTGCCAGAAAATGTTTGAAGTTTCCAAATTATCTGAAAGAGCTTTGAATTGTAGAAAATGGGATATTTATGGAAAAACAAGGCATGGTATCTTCTCACATTAATTTTGCGCACAAAAGAGTTTAAATCATCATTTACCTACTTGGATCACTCAGATGAGTAATAGGAATTGTGGCACAGGTCTTACCTGCTCAGGCTGATATAAGGAGTGATATAAGCTTATGGTTAGGTAGCAAAAGCACCTAGACATGATTGAAACTGCTCTTTGTTATCTCTCCTGAGGCAAAGAACTCAGCCTTGGTTGCCTTTCCCTGCTAGTTTACTGCAGAAGGCTATACTGGTTAAACCTCCCTTTTACTTTCCCAGAGAATGTGGGCATTCAGATTTTGCAGAGATTTTTTTCTTCCTCTATATTACCACTGCAATCCTTTTTCTGGGCACCTCCTGGGTTTGGGCCAGAGTCAAGGTGCAGTCTCCAATACTGAGAGCAGAGGTTCTCATATACCTGAGAGGCAGTGGGCTACCTGTTCTGTATTCCCTTCTTGGTACTGGATCCACAGAAGGTGTAGAAAGCCTGCATATGGATGTTGCTGTGATGGCTGATGCTCAGCTGCAAACATTGAACACATTTGGGCTCTGAATCCTATGGTGAATTTAGGTAAAAGAGGTCTTGCTTCACTGACTGACCTGAAAGCTGTAAACTGCCACTCTGCTCCTGCTGTGAAGAGCTGCTGATCCGTGTGGCTAAAAATTAGGCTTCTCATATGTTTCCCTGTCAGAGGCCTGAAGCTGTTTGGTGTGCAATGGGAATTAAGTCTCACTGTTGGCATAATAGTTTTGAAATATCACCCTGTGAAACTTATTTGCTATGCAGTTAGATGTATTCTGGAAAATAATTGAGCTTTTCTCTGGCTGTAGGTATGTGCACTGGTTACTGCTGTGATTACAACTAATCTTGGAAATGCTTGGCTCAGGGAACCGGTGTGCGTTGGTGGAGAGAGCTGACACTGGTATCACACACAGGTTCCATCCTCTGGATTCTTTGTAATCAGTTGTAATCTACTGTATAGAAAAGAAGTGTGTATGGAGGTAAATGCTTTTATGATTCTATACATATAACTCTTCAGTAGGTCACTGCTGCAAAGGAGGGAATTTCTGTGTGCTAGGTCCCTGCCAGATGACCTAGGAAAATAAACCCATAATAAATACGGAGAAGAGAATTATTCTAGACACTCTGAACAGCAGTGAAATGTGGGATGCTGTTAGAAGAAAATAATCACTTGTTAGCTTATAGATTTTGGGCAGCTGTGGTATTTTAGATGTAATTGTTTATTATCCAGACTAAAAACCTTTTGCCATGCCTGATGTTTATAGAAACTGTATCTCCTACTGGAAGGACTCTTGAATATTTGCTTTCTCCATATCTGCCCTCCCTGAAGTCTGTAGGGATTCATTACATAATGACTGTTTTCAAGAGCCCCTGAAATATGAAAATGCTTAAATCCCACACCACTTTCAAGAAGAATTAAGTACCTAAACACATGTGGGTATGTGTGTTCTCAGAATAGTATTTTTAATTAAAAACCCCAGATATAAATATTCAATTTTGAATTAATATGAAACTAAGAGAAAATATATGGTTATTCTGTGAGTTAATATATAGCCCATAATATATTAGTCTGTATGCCATAATTCATCTTTTATTATAATTGCATTTGAATTATGAATATGGTATGGTATGAATTAATATGAAATCTACAGTCAAATTTGCACCAACCTCCATTAAGTTAGATAGCTGTAGAAGAAAGAGAAGTCTTTGCCCTATTCCAAGCAGAAATGCGGTAGCAGAAGATAAACCATGAAAACTGATGTTCTCTGTTTCTTATTCCCTTATCCATTGCTATTTAGTTTGTGCTGCAGCATTTTTCAGCATGGAGAGGCTATTTGCAGAGGATAAGCTGTTTTCCTGAGCTGTTTTCTTGTAGAGCATTGCCCAAAGTAAATGGAGAAGGGGAAGGCTCTCCCACATGGGGCCTTCTACAAAACACTGTCATCTATTGATACGAGTTAGATACTTGAGCCAGCACTGGGAACTTGGATGTGTACTACATATTTCTGATGCAGAACAGTTAGGAACAATTTTATAGGGTATTTTTGCCTTAGAAGAACAGGAGGAAGACAGCAAATAAATGAACTTGCTAAGAAGTCCTACCTCACAGCCTTCAAAAATATTGCTCCAAATAATTAAAGTTATCTGATAGTAGCACTTAGCAAATTAATTATTCCATCAACGTTCATGTCAGTCCATTTGGTCTGCATACTTATGCATTATTTCTTTAAGAACATATCATTCTGCTTTCTGTTTTCATATGAAGTCTGAAATTGTGTTTACCATATCTGTCAGATCTGGCCTGGAGCACTTCCAGTCCTGTCTAAAGTCTTGATATATAAAGGAAAATGTAACTTTATTATACTTTTCTCAGTACAGACAAACACCATTATTGGTTTTCTTCTATGCTCCTTTTGTTTTTTTAAGCTGGGGAGTGGGAAAAAGGAAAATCAAGCTTTCAAGAGCAGACTACGTTATGATGTGTATTAAAGCCATATAATTCATGTGTTATTATCTGTTTTATTACTAAAATCAAGTCTTTCAAGAGCTAAATAAAGTATTCATAATATTTCCTTGCCCTCATACTTAGAAATGTTGGTAAATGATAGAAATATTCCCTTGTGTAGATAATACTGCTGGCTGCTAAAGCCTGAAAATCTCCTAAATCTTTACTCTTAAGAAAAGTAGTATTGTACTTAAAGCAGTAAGCCTTTAACTGTAATCTTCCCTCACTTATCCCTCAAATGGCCTCACATCCCTGTGGCCCCAAGTTATACCATGACAACTTACTGTATTTGGGAAAAGTGAAAAAAATAAGTTCAGTATACTTCTGTCTATGTGCAATTATTCTATTGAGGCAATTGTCAGCAAAAAATACCAGCAGATGGTAAATCTTTAACTGATCTCTCTGTGAGTAAAACTTGTGGCAGATTTGGTAAAATACATTTATAGGTGCTTGTATTTCAAGATATGAAGAGGAAAAAGAGAACTATTATTACAAGCTAAATGAATTTTTCTGACCTTGACTTTTAAAGTTTTATCTTAGGTCCAAGGAAAAACACAGATAAATATTTGGTCTGAACCTGTTTCAAGTGTGAATGCTGATTCTTTCATATCTCCACATGTCCCCTTGTTCCTGATCTAATGTGAAAACACATTTCATGCCAAATAACTTTCTGCTTAGCATCTGATTACCAATGGTCCTTTCTGTATCAAATCAATTACTGATCAGAGGTGTAGGTTGGCTAAATTCTGTAGAAATCTGCCTAGGAAACCTTGCTGTGAGCATTCAGGTAGGAAGCCTGAGTGCTGGAATAGCTATTCCTTCCATTAATATTTAGGTACTGTCTTAGAGGCTGTTATAGTTATACAAAATAGCTAGAGCTGTAATTTCAAGTCTAAAATACATCCAAATACAGTTTCAGGAGAAACTGCTATCAAACCTGAAGTGTGTGTACAAGCCAGGTTATGTTGCCTGTCTTCTGCAAACACAACCTTTTTCCTTTCCTTGCTGTTTCCAGTCCCAATTTCTCCTGTTTGCTTATGACTTGGGGGTGTAATTTCAGTCCAGTAAGCATTTCCTATAAAATAATCTTCAGTATTCTGTAGAAGCAGGAGGTGGTGACACTGGAACTGAGCTAGCCTGCCTCTAAAAGATAAAGTTTAAATGAAAGAAATACTGGCTTCTAGTAATTGCCAGGTCAGGCCAAAAGTCCCAGGAAGTTGTTTCAATTGTTAAATGCTGTATTTTTAAGTACAGATGAGGAAGATTGTTTTTTTTTTTGTTGCTTTGGACAGCCTTAACAAGTTATCTATTTTACTTCATCCCAGTCCCCACTCTTCTGAATGCTTTTGAAGAAGTACGAGACTGATGCTTTTTCATGTTTCATTTCCCCCTCCTGCCCTGTATTGGCTGAGAAGAAAAATGAATTTCCTAATGGGCTAAATTGAGAAGGAAAAGGGAAAATATGATTCAAGAACCAATCTTGCTGTCTGTCAAACTTAGTAAAATAATTTAAAGTGGCCTCATGTATGGCTGCATGCAGATATCAAATTACTCTTTTGCTCAGTGCTTGCTTTTTGGGTCACCAGGTTTGGAACACTGTAGACTTTATCCTTGAAACAAGTCTCTAAGCCAATTGCAGAAATTGTGCACTAAGTGTAACAGAGTTGGTGATTATACTGTAGCACACGCAGAGTAATTTAAGTTCCACGTGTGACCAAGAGGTGAGGTACTGGAAAGGAGCATTTTATTTTGCAGAATTATTTTAATTTCTGTGCTGTAAATACAGCCCTGGATCCATCAAGAAAGATGCTCACAGTAGGGTTCTTCCATGTTTTCAAAGTCTGCTCTCTCCCACTGTTTCCTAAACAGCTATTCTTTGAGGTCTTCCTTGAGCACCTGTGCAAGAAAAAGGAAAAGCTGATTTGGGATTTAGTTTCCTGTTCAGTGAGCAATGGGAATGACAGGATGGGAGGGGGGAGGAGGGATTAGACCTTCTCACTATGGCACTAATGAAAGTATGCCTCTCCATGAAAAGAATTTGTTCTGCTTTGAAGTCAGTGGAAGGACTAATGATATGGAGGAGTTGACTAGTGATGTGTAACACCATGCAAATGTCTGTATTTTATTCTTTATACTGAAAGCAGTTAATGTCTTCTGTCTTGTCTTCCAAGGAGGCATTTTTCTGCCACCTGCTGTGGATATTGTTCCCAACATATCCCAAGTACACATAGTACTTCTTCCTAACATAAAGACCTTTGGTCTGAGCATGGTCCCTGCAGGCATAAATTCCAGTGTGTCCAACTTTTCCCTACAGAAAAGGGTGTGAACAGGACTAACAGTGTTCTGAAGGAAACTCACAAAGGAGTGCGTTTGCAGGGTCTTACAGGTTTTTATTTTCTGTTTTGTGGAGCTGGCTCATGTCAGTCAGATGGTTTAAAGTTTTCTGGGACCACTAGACCCAGGAGAGAAACACTTTCATACCATTTTTAAGGAAAATAATCTGAAGTAAAGGACGAAAAGAGGCAGTACATGCAAAGTGCTCTAGTGGTGCTTCTGGCACACTGTGCTGCTTTAGCCAAATAGATGGGTGCCTGCTGATTGTCACTTGTTTAGTGACAATCCCTCTCTTCCCTCCATCTCTTCCTTCCCCATTGGAATAACTATGGAATTACTTCTTAATTTTTATTTTGCTTTTTGATAAAGGTATCAGGAACAGCTCACTCTGAACATTTCTTTAAACATTTCTACTACATATCTGTGTCTAGGTGGGATGGAGAGTGATTTTTCCCATGTACAGATATACTACTTCTGGTTTTCTTAAAAAGTGAACTTCAGCAGTGAAGAAAGCTTCCTCTGAAAGCCTTGCTTCCTTTTGTCTAGTACAAATTCCAAATAATTCTATATTGAATTTAAGTTCTCAGCTGGGCCTAAGTTCAAGCAGGTTTATGAGACTGTCTTTGTCATATAAAAAGCTTTAGGCAAGATTTGACAGTGTTTAAACTTCCCCCACAATGGGGAAAGAAGAAGGAATTCAGAAAATCTAATTGCCTTAGCAAAATCTGACCAGCCAAGGAGTACATTGGAGTTAAAGCAATCAAAGAAAGATGACCCTTTTTCTTAAAGGAACATAGCCCCTGTGCTGATGGGAGCTATTGAAAAGTTTAATATAGTTGTTGCTGGGTTTTTTGCTTAGACCAGTTTTCAGCCATCTTCTTCTGTTTTCTGCCTTTTCTGTAGTGGACACATGATTCAACTGTTCCTTATGATTATTTTTTTAAATACTACTTTCTTGTGCATTTCAATATATGTTTTAGATACATACTATATTTGTAGTATTTCAGTTAGTGTCGATTTGTGCATGGAAAATGTGCTTGTCCCAGGCTCTGAAATGTTCGTTTTTCTTATAACCTGTAAATATTTCCACTTGATATTTTACTGGGAGTAGTTTTCTAGTCTTTAGATATTATATACATTTGAATAGGACTCCTTCTAGCAAGCTGTGTCAGAGAAATCGCTCATTCCTGGAAGCTTCCAGCAGCCTCAAAGAACAGGGAGCAGATTTCACGTGTTTACGGTCAGAAAGGAAACAAACAAATTTTAGCTCAGTTTCCAATTGCTACTGATGTGAACATAGTGTGGTGCTGGAGAAAGGTAGTATACTTACAGAAGAGGCATCTTGCAGGTATCAGTCAGCTCATTGTTCCTGCCTGTGGTGCCCAGCCCAGTGGAATACAGAAATGGAGCTATCCTTCCCAGCACAACAGAGAAACATGTGAGTTGTTCTTAAAAATGTCTGCTGGGTGTTTGCACTTGAGGACACACCCAGTAGTATCTATGTTTGGATGGTGGTGTGTTGTAGGCATTTATTCACCATCTGGCAAGGAATTCAAGTGACTGCCTAAAGCCCTTCCTACAGCCTATAGACTGGGAAAGTTTTCTGGGCAGCAGATGGAATCAGACGTCTGCAGCCTCACTGGGCCATATGCTGTTACTGGGGTCTTCAGCTCCTGTGAGACTAATGATTTCAGCCTCTTGCTGCCACCTGAAAAATCACTGCTGTGGGTTATTCTCATTGAACTTGGCTTGCTGGCCACCATGGAAGCTACTTGCCTTCTGCAGAAAAGGCAGGGAGCACCAACACCACACGGCTTATGCCATGTTTCCCTTCAGGTTCTGTACCACTTTCCCACTGAAATTTTACTCCAGGCTCTTGACCATGGCTGGGAGAGTTAACAACTGCACCAGCACTCCTGTGTTATATGTTCTAAGCTCTCTGTCTGGCATCTTGCAGGAGCTCCTCCAGGTGTGGGGCCAGGTGTGTGTGCCCAGCAGTGGGTGTATGGCCACCCACTGTGCTCCTGGAGCTTGCATTAGCTGGGAGCAGCACTGTGCTGCTGGCTGGTACACGCACAGTCCAGAGAGGGAGACTGTAACTTTTCTGCCTCTTGGGGTGTTCAGTTAGGAGAATTGAATGCAGAGACAATGCAATCAGTTTTCCCAATTAAAACTATTTTGAAGCCATTATAACAACTTCTGCAAAAAAAATCCTGATTGCTCTTCAGGATGTAAATGAGTGTCCTGTTTCCCAGGAAGGTCACTAAATTGAGACCATTAATCTAAGATCTCTTTCTATCTCTGACCACTGATTTAATAACTCCTTTCCCCTCTGAGTGTCATCTGTGGATACACATTTCATACTGCTCCCTTGGACATGACTGTTTGCCACCTGTTTTTTAAATCAGATAGCAGAGAGATTGTGGCTTTGCCTTACAGAACGAGAGCTAAAAATTCAAGCTGCTGCCAGAGGCATGGTAAAACATCTTGTCATGTGCAGGTATTCCCCTTTGTTGTGGCTGAAACCAGGAAACCATTGCATCACAGAACCTATCTTCCCACAACTCAGCTGCATTGTTGGCACCCCTGCACTAACAATGGCTTTTGAGAGAAGGTGTCATGTATGGGTCCCCCCATGTGGTGTCTGTCCCCCATCACCCCAGTTCTCTGTGGCTCTACCTGTTTCCATTTATACCAGACTGAACTTCTTTGCTTTGCCATGAATTCTTAGCACTGGGGACAGACACACGTGATGGTGAATGGCACATACCTTAGGTTATATGCAGAAATTTGAACTCCTGCTGCTGTCACAATTCCTCAGATTAAATGTTTGGCAATCCAATTAAAGCATATGTCCACAGAGCTTGCAATTTCAAGATTACAAACCCTGTTCACAGATAGAGAAACCTAATGCACAATACCATCCACTCCTGTAAATGTTAAACATCTGAAAATGTTTGTGTAGCTGTCTAAGAGAACTGTAAATCTGCTGAACTTCCCAGATTTCACTCTAGATGCCAGTAAGTAATTTATTGTGAATGTGAGACTGAATTCAGATCCTGCTTATGACTAGTGTGAAGGCAGGGGTGATAAAAAGGGATATTCCACTGTTGTCTTGAGAACAGTGGATGCTGCTAGGAGCAGTGATGAATGTGAACATTTCAAAAAGCAAACATTCCTATATGGTGCATACCTGCTGAGCATTGCTAGAGTAACAGAGCTGTCCATCCACAGGCTGGTTCTTTTGCACCCTTCTGGTTGCTGGGTGTGACAGTCTTCTATCTCTTCCCCTCACAAACTTTATGATAAAGGCACTGCAGTAGGTTTTGTGGGCTGTAAGGTGCCAAGTAGGAGCTATGATACTAATTTTATCAAGGCTTACTCTAAGTCATCGCTATCAGATGCTGAAAAGTCTGCATATGTTATTTCCTGTCTTATTAAAAACAGTATGGCAAAACTGATGTAAACAAAAAAATTCATCTGAGCTTGATGAGAACACCAATTTAGCAAATCCATGAGTCCCAATTCTCCACCAGCTTTGCAGGTGGTATCACCTATGCAGATACCCCACTATTTCCTTGTTGCTGTATTTACCCTGTGCTGAAACCTCATGGAACTGCCGTCACACTGTCTGTGAGTGCTGGGTTTCTGACACAGCAGCATCACTGCTGGCTGGTTACTGACTTGATTGCCTGCCTTCCCTCTAAGGAGAAAGTTTATAGCCTGCTGCCTATTTGTAATATGGCAGTTTAGAAATGCCAGAGACTAGAAATTGGACCAAATGTGCCATTCACAGTACTACAAATGGGAATCATTTAATGCTAAAAACATCTCCTGCTTTTCCTCCACTCTCTCATTTCTAAAGGTCAAGGTATTTGTATAGAAATATTAAGCCAGCTGTAGAGAGGTTGCAAGACCATTCCAGCTACACTGTGATGTGTTTTTATCTCCCACCCTAACAGGGAATGTCAGTCATAATTAGTGTTACACATAAATTTCTCACTGGGATTCAGGTTTCACATGATTAGAAACTAAACTATGTAGAGTGCTGCTCTTCTGGCTCTGTAGTTTCAATTAACAGATTCATCGATGAAAAACCACAGTGAAAGATAATGGCTGAGGTCAGAGAGGTTATCTTTTTTTATAGCAGTTGTCATCTTAAATGAGAAAACAGAAATGAAAGAGGGTTTCATTAACCTGACTAAGGAATTAGCTGCCACAAATAGCGTGTCAGCAGTAAAAGTGTGATCAGGACAAAATCCTTCCCATGGCCTTGGTCACTGCTATAATCATCCTAATCCCCAGTGGGTATAGTGATGATGTGCAGTACAAGCCTGCTGTAGCCTAGCTCTGTTTCATTGATGAAGCCTGTAAGCAGATTATTACTGGTCTGATCAGTGCTCTTGCCAATCAAGGAACTCTCATTGCTTTAGAGCAAAGCATAAGAAAGCCAGAAGATGAAATTAATACTGCAAAGTGCTGGGCAGAGACAGAAAGACAGAAATCCACTACTGTAGTCCGGGAAAGTGACCCTGGATTTCTTCTTTTTCTTTCAAGGGGCCTTAGAGCTCTGGAACCCCATCCTAAGAAGTATTCAAGGGAAGGAGTATTTAAAGGAGAAAAAAAAATAAATAAAAAAAAAATCCAGTTATGGAGCTGGCATTAGCATTGGAAAAGTATGTCTGTCTGGGGCAGGAGACTGTCAGCAGTGGCAGGGCACATGGACATTCTCCATGCTTCTTGGTCTGTGTGGATTTTGGGGAACTGTGTGGGCTGACTGCCACAAGGAGATATTATTATGAAACTGACTTGGAAATGGTGATTGCCAAGAAACAGAAAATTTCCAAAGAAAGATCACTTAACCTGCAACCTTGGCATAAAGATGTTGACTTCACCCTACCATCAAAATCTGACTAGAAAAGCCTTGTCTTATGGAAGAACAAATGTATTCTACTTCTTGTGGCTGTTTTCACATTATGGAGTTCTATAAGGGGCCAGGAACATCTGCCTTCTATTTCTGCTTCTCTCTTTTCCTTCAGGAGACCAGGAGTGTGCTGGCTGGAGGGAAGGCATATTCATACTTCCAGGAGTTGATTGATCTAAGTACATGAGTTAAAAGGCTATGCAAGTATGTCATACAGATGCTGTCTGTGCACTATCTGTAAGGTCTTCGACCAGCAGGGAAGAGTTGGGAGTAGTTTTTTGTTCAATAGACTCCTCACTACACACACAAGAGAGCTTCATATATCTCTGCCTTGAAAAATCACTTATGGGTTGAATGTTAGAATGAGGAGGGGCAGAAGAGTAATAAAAAATCCCATTTTCCCTCAACTTTTTAGTGACTGATAGACAGTGATCTTCATCAATGTCACTTAGTACTGGCACAGAGTGACTTTTGTGTATGCAGATAGCTCAGAACTTTGTCTGTTCACATCTTTCAGTATTAGAGCTCATTTGCATCTATAACTATTCACCTTGATGATTGCTCTCTGTCACATGCTTGGAGTGGTCTGAAGTTCCCAGCCTGCATCATCACCTGGCTCCTTTGGCTGATGTTCAGGCTATCTCCAAGCAGAATGCCTATGAAATAGGATTATAAAATGAAAGATCTCTCTTCTCTCAACAAGGATATGCAACTGTTATGTCCAGAAGACAGATGAGTTTTGATTTTGCTTTTGGTTTTTAATGACAATGAATAATGGAATAAGAAAAAATATTTTAAAAAACTGTAATTGCTTACAATTTAAGGGAAGGACTGAACTGCTCTGTTCCAGCTTGCCTCTGGTTGTACTAGTCCTTACTGAATGGTTGACCCTGGTTACCAGCTGTTCTTGAAAGCTCTCAAAGCAGACCCCTAGCACTTCTTCCCCTTCATTCAGTAGGAATTAATCGGATATCTCTGGGGATAGGGAGAGCTGGATGGATTTTCTTCCTAAATCTGAGCTTTTTGTGTGGTAATGCAGGAAGAGTAGAGAGTGCTAAAACAAAATTACTTAATGACATCTTTCCTGACTGCTATGAAGTGTCAACCATAATATGGGAGAGCAGATCTGAAGTTACAGGTAGAGAGCTGCTTTCATTTGAAAGTAGCATCATTAAAAGAAAAAAAGAAGAAAAAGGAAAAAAGAGAAAAAGCATTAAACATCTGAAATACATTTTAGAAAGATAGGAGTAAATGTGAGTTCTAGTACTTTTGCAAGGAGTTGTATCAAACAAACGCTTTCAAGCAGACAGCATAATGGCCTATTAGAGAAACACAATGTCACTTGTAGGTGGCTAGAAGTACAAAGTAGGAAGATGATAGCATCAGTAAATGCTTTTTCCAAATTGCAAGGGTGGGTGTTCACTGAAATGTTTGCTGGCTGAGTAAAGATACAAGTGCAGATAGATGGGGGCAGGAGGAGACAAAGAGTCTGTTTTCCCCAAAAGGCTGTCCTTTCATCTTTATTCCAACTCAAGCATCCAAAATTTGTGGGTTCTTTACTGAGGCTTTAATGTCATTCAGCCATGAATAGATACCCAGCAACCATAGAGAAGTGTCCATGTTTGTTTCTCTCTCCCTTTAAAGCAGTGTCCACAATGTTATAATATTGCTGTCATTTTGGAGAGGAAAAAAAAAAAAAACAAACCAGTAACAAATTCTGTTTTCTGGAGTATAGGAGAATTTTTTAGCTGTTTTATTTTGGTGGCACTGTAGAAAATTAGGCATATCTATAAGGTGTGCTGCAAAATGCAGTGTAGTTTGGGGATGTCTGTGCTCATTTTAAATGACTCCACTTGAAAAATCAGGAGTTATCTAGCTGTCACTGCACACTGCTCTGCACTGACTCATATTGTCATGTTATTCAGGCAAACTACTCGTCAAGAGTTAACTCAGTAAGTGCATTGCCTTAGCAACCAGAATATTAACACACTACAGCAGCAAAGTACAGCCAGTTTATACTTTGATTTCAGGCACAGGAGTTTGAGGTGGCGATATATGTGCTGTAGTGTTGTGCAGGATTGGGATAAAAAGTAATGGTAAGGCTAAAGAAGCACCAACTCTAATATTTATTGTGTATCTAATGCTTAGGCAGTTCTGGTTACTGGAGTGATTTCAAAGCAAAAAAAACAACAAACATGTGAAAATAATGCATGAGCCAGAATATATGGGCAGATCACTCCATATTCTCTTTCCACTTCTTTGCCTAACCTTCATTAATTTTACATTTTATTCCTTCATGAGCAAAACCTATCATGGGCTTTTTAGTGTCCTTTATTTTTTTCCTGTCATTCATGCATTTCCTTCAATATGTAAAACATATTGCCTAAATGGAAAATACTTGTAAAGCAGCAAAGAAGTAGCAAGTGGCAGATACCTGGCAGAGCATCATCAAAGAGAATACACCAAGCACTTCATATGACTGAAAGACAAAGTTTCATTTTTAGATGACTCAGTATTTTTCTCCATATGGATCTGAAGTAGTGAGAAAAACCACTATGAAATGCATCATTTATTCTTATGCATCCAGGACAGCCATGATTCACCTTGTTTAATTGCTTGCTGCAGCTGTATGTTATTACTTCCTAAATCCCAGTGTGCCCCAAATGTACTTTAAATAAGATACTGTCTGAACTAGGAACAAACAACTACATTCAATCTCTGGACAGACTGTTACTTCCCATGCACATGACCCATTATTACCATCTCCAGCCTTGGCCCAGGGATGTGAATGTGACTGACTTCCACTCATGCAGGATGCAAGGAACTACTTTTACTTCGCACTGTTATCTCTAATTTTGAATTCAAATGCAAATAAAGATGGGCATGAGAAAACTCTACAGCACCCTAATGGCTGCTATAAATACATATAGAATAGCTTATAGAATATGAATAGAACTCCTCTGATGATCATCTGTGGGACAACTTTATGTTTCAATTCTATTTTGCCCAGGTCTTCAGAGTTATGTCATAAAAAACTTGCTCTGGCATTATATCATCACAGCAAAAGTCTTTCTTTACCTCTATGAAACAGCTCTTTGTTTATACAGACATTATGCTTCTGAAGGCTGGGATCATATCTGTAATTTCATTTAAAGAAAAATTAAAATGTGATTTTAATTTATTTTCTTACATTGTTTCTTGTCCACTCCAGCCTTATATGCAAAAGAGAAGTCTTAAATTTTGTTGTTTGAAGTCTGACTTGGTCTATACAATAGGGACCTAAATAAAAGCCTGCTTAAAAATTATCTTCTGTACTATGTTTATGTCATCTCTTTTATGTTCTTTTGACAGCCTCTTTAATATTGTGTTCTGGTGATACCCAAGGAACTCTCGGCAGTTTGACAAACTTGTGTAAAATTGTCAGTGAGATCCAGATTTGCACAAATGGAAGCAGATGGTAAACCAACTAGCAGTTCTGGGAGACAGGCATCAGGAAATTACAGCAGTGGCAGAAATTAAACACTTAGTACCACTGGCCCAGTTTCTTAAGTGATGTAAATTTCTCTATGTGATGGACACTGTATTATGAAAAAAAGGAGAAATGGGACTATATATTGTTTGTTACAGTTGTTCTTTTAAAATAATCTGGTACCTAGGCACTAAATTTCCTACAGTAAAATATCTCACAGTGGTTAAAAAAAAATTAAAAAACAAACAAACAAACAAATAAGATCACCCCCAAAAAACCCCAAACAAACAAGGAACCCAAACAAATCTAACCAAGTCCAAAGTTTGAAAATTTTTTTCATTGAAAAATTTTGTCCACTGCCCCATTTTTTAACTTTTCCACAAATATGGCTTGCCACTTTGCTCTTCTGGGAAACACTGAATGTGCGACCCATAGGGGCTCACTTCTGGAAGGCTGAAGTTAGAGTAAAGAAGTCCTCATGATGGGTTAGGGAAATAGTTTGATCCTGCCCCTACCAGCATAAAATGTCTGGAGATGCATGCAGTTGGGTCATAAACTGAGAGTAAAAAAATGTTTCATACAGGCTTTCCAGCTCACCTGGAACCTATGTTTTAGATAAGGCATCTGTTACAACAAACACTGCATTTGAAAATAGGCACATCCTGAAAGAAACTGTTGACTACTTCTGTTTTGCTTTCTGTGTAGCCCTTTTCAGGAAGAAGGAGAGGGTAAGGAAACTCCTCTCATGTCTCTCATGCCTTAAGTAGTCAGAATCCCATATTGCATTACTTTCCCTGTCAAAAACATCTTCTTTGCCTCATTTCTGCATCTTCAGAAAGAAAAAATGGTCACACTACTGTCTCTTCTCTGTGTAGGCCAAAGTAATATTTGGCATGTGTTGGTGCCCAGTATCCGTGTTTGTGAGACAAACTGCTGCCTTGTATGACTCCTGTCAGGTATACTCTGGAGAAAAACTCTTCTGTTTTTGTAGCAGCGGCCTCAGGGGAGACAAAGAGTTACATTGTCCCACCCCAAACCCCTTGTGAAGGGTGGCCCAGGTGCTCTGATTGGGTTTGAATCCCTGAGGGGTTCTCCCTTGGTGTGCTTCTACTGGTCCCTGACCCTGAACTCCACCCTCAAAGGTGGGGACCCTTGAGAGTTTTGTCCCTCAAAAACCCCTGCTGTGCCTCTGTTCAGGGCTCTCTGGTCTGGACCTGACTTTGTTCCCAGCTGTATAAAGAACAATGCTGCATTGTTGAACAAACAGATAGTTCCTTCAAGCATGATGTTGTTAAATTTTTGTTTCTTTGGATTTTTTTTAAAAAATAATTTCATTGATGTGAACAGCTTATTTTTTTGTCTTTTCTCACCCAGTGCTCATTGGGTGGCTACAGAAGACCTGTTCCAACATTTATGGAAAAGACAGAAATCTTAATTTTGGGGTTCTAAACAGCACTTCTGCCCATGGCCTGGAAACAACAGTCAGACTATTGACCAGCATAGTTGTGATTTTATTGGTTTCAGTTTTACAGAAGTATTAAAATTGAATGTTTTGTAGCATGTCAATGTAGATTATGTAATCTACTTAACACATGTTCTAGATTTGTTGAGATTACTGCCTGGTTCTGTTTCCTTTTATGACTTCCACAACTTGACATGTGTTCTTACTATGACATCTCTTCCTAATATGAATGTCTGGCTTACAATGAACCCTGAAGATTTGGTTTCCATACATTAACCCACATTCTGAGAGCAACAGCTCTTCCTGAAATATGTCAAGGCCAACCACATGGCTAATCAGTGATAAAGAACGACTTATACTCCTGTAAGTGTCTCTTAGATCCTTTGACAAAACCGTGATAGCTGTCAGAAATTCCTTAGAAAGTAGTATCAACTTGATAAACAATCCTGTTGGTTATTTCAAACAGTTTCAGTATTAGAGAACCTGGGTAATGGTCTCCCACTCACAGATTCAATACAATGAAGAAGCATTAAATGCTAAGCTTGGTTGAAATTAGTGCATCCTGATAAGTATTATTCTGGTGTCTCTTGATTGTGGAGTAAAAGAAATGATGGGTCTATGTCAAGTTAACTCTTGAGTTTATAAGTATTGAAAGATTATTAGGGAGAAGCATGGAACACAGAAAGGTGCAGAAGACCCCCTTCATTTTAGGGATTTTATTCTTTTCTCTAGAAAGAAATGAGGAACATAGTTTCTTCAGAAATAAGTATTAAATAAGTGCTTCTTAATCAAAACCTAGAAGTGCTTATGGTTAAATAAAATCCAGTAGACCAGCTGAATTGCATTGAAAAATTGATTATGGGTTAATGGGAATTAACAGGACATTTTGGCTGTGCCTCCTAGAGTTCTAGAGTTTTGGGTTTGTTTTTTTTTTTTTGCTTTTTTTTTTTTTTGTTTTTTAGGAATATACCCACTCTGGAAGCACGGGTGTATATGATAAAGCTTTGTTTAAAAAAACATACCCCACTGAAATTCATAGCTCTAAGCTGAATCATGGATTTTTGATTGCCAGTGGCATGGATGTATGAATTCATTATCTTTATTTAATCATACAGAAGAAACCTCTTAATCTGTGTGGTTCACAGCTTCAGCTTTTCATCACAAACTAAGACTGATACCAAGAGCAGAAAGCTAAAGTTCTTGAAATAATAATCTTTTGAGGATTTGCCAATGACAATGGTTTCCACTCAGATTATCAGCTTTTCCAAACATGCTGATATGTTAGCTTAGCATTTAATAAGAAGAGAGCGCTTCTGTGCATGTTCTTTTGTTGGAAAATTGCATTGAAACATGATTTTGCTTGATACCTGTTCTTTTTGCATTATTTCCCCCAGTTTTATTAAAAAATGTCAAGATATTCCATCTAATTGGGCAGCTGTTTCTAGCTGTGCTTTTGGAAAAAAACTCAGTTTTCACATCTATTTCTTCTTTTATCTCTGAAAGCATGCAGTTGCTGTCTAAAGTTCTCATGCATGTTACACGGAACGAGTGTATCATAAAGCCATATTTATTAGCCTCAATAGGACACATTTGGAGCCCAATAACTTTCCAATAAATTTCAGAATTTCCCCAGAAAAAATTATATGATTTACATACATCTTTTATGTTTACCATTGCTCTGATTCTCTTTTCTTTTCTATGGCATTTGGGAGATGTCTGTAGTTCCTCACTGCATGGAAGAACAGACACTCATAATTTTTTTTACAGTCCATCCATATAGCATTAGATATCTGCCTAGGCTGTGGGGACCTCTGCACAGCGCAGCAGAGAGCCAGACCAAAGCCAGACCAAAGGGTTGTTCAGTCCAGCATCCTGCCTCTGACAGTGCTAAAATGCCAGAGACCAAGAGCAGAACAAACTCAGCCTACAAGGGTCTTACAAGCAGCACAGCAACGCTGAATATAGCAGGATGTTCACATCTTTTGACTGGATGGTCATGCTGTGTTTGATGCAGCCCAGGGTATCCGAGCTGCCAGAGCACACACACTGCTCATTCAAACTGAGCCTGCTGCTGGTCTCTTTCTGGGCCCCACGGTTTAAGAAGGATGTGAAAGTCCATGAATGCATCCAGAGGAGCGCAAAAAAAAGTGGTGAAAGGGCTGGAAAGAATGTCCTGTGTGGAGCACCTGTGACCTTTGGTCTTGTTTGGTTTGGAGAAAGGAGTCTGATGGGCAACCTCCTTGCTCTCTGCAGCAATCTGAGGAGGGAAGTGGAGAGGGAGATACTGAACTCTTCTTCCTGGATTCCAGTGGAGGATGCATGAGGACAATTCAAAGCTGTGCCAAGAAAGGCTTAGAATTTTTCTTAGATTGGATGTTATGAAACATTTCTCTACCATTCAGGAGATCTAACAGTGGAAAAGGCTTCCTAGAGAGGTGACTGATATCCCAAGCCTGTCAGTGCTTAAGAGACAATGCCCTTAATAATATGCTTTGACTTCTGGTCAGCCCTCAACGGGTTAGGCAGCTGGATTAGATGATCACTGTAGGTCCCTTCCAAGTGAAACAGTCTATTCTAGTCTAGTCTAGACTAGACTAGACATAGGGGTTCCATGCATTTACATTGTCTCAGTGGATTTACCCATGAACTTACCCAGTCATTTTCTTGCATTTGGTGTAAAATTTTAATTTATCATATACTGTAGTACATTCTATATCTTCACTACCTGATATGTGAAGAATCAGGCCCTGAATAGTCTAAATTATGCAACTGGTAACTTTACTGAAGGCCCACAGCCCTCACATTGGCAGGAGAAAGGAGCAATCAATTCCTATCTATCTATTCCTACCATTATACACAGATTTTGCAGACATCTGCCATATCCTAATTTGTTTGAATTTGTTTGCTTGTTTGTTTGTTTTTTTCTTTTAGAAGCCATTGTATATTTTAAAACCTTCTCCCTCCCTCTGGAAGGAAAAGGAAGGCCAGTGTTGCATATGGTGTTTAGCCACAATAATGCATAATTTCAGAATGTTTGCACCCATTTTGTTATTTAGTCCTTTCTTAGTAATTCTTATCATTGATTTGCTTTTCTTACTATTACTGAGCAATGAGTTGATAGTAATCCCAAGAGTGCATTCTGATGGCTGGAAACCCATTGTTCCATATGTGAATATAGGACTGTTTCCCCCATGTTGCTTTAACTGTCATAAAGATGCTTTATTTCTCAGCAACTTCATGAGAAGTCTCAGATGTGTCTCCTTTTGTTCTAACAACTGAAAGTCAACTGTAGGAGAAAATCAGAAAGGAATCCTTAAGGGCACAAGAACTGAGTTTAAGCTGGTTTTATATTCTGTAACCTCCAAGGGGCATCATATTATAAAGTCTGTACTTTACATTTTGTTTTTTAACTTCTCTCAAAACTCTGGAGTTCTGTTATCCATCCATGATACTAAATGGTGCCTATGGGCAGCTGTCAATCTCTTGCTGTATGTTCGTGCATTAAATTTTATGCACTTTTAGAGGTGAAATGGTGCCATTAAGAGTAAGCAGTCTTCCTTTCTAGTCTAATGGATACAAAACTCTGAAAATCAAAGAAGGAAAATGAATATTTGAAAGAGATACAGGATTTAGGCTGTGTTAGCAAAACCTCTGCTGAACATTCAACGGTGTCCACCTACATCTCTGCTCTTTTTTCATGGCTAGGCCTTCTGAAATTGTGTCTATTTTTCATTGAGCCTTGCTCTGTAGTAGAGCTCTTGTGTAAATGACAGATTTTGTACTTGTAATGTCAACAAATCTGGAAAATAAGCTATCATTTTGAGGAAGAGAGACGCACCAAGTTGCCAGGTGTGTTACTGGGACTATTCCTACACTCATAAAAGTTTGGCTGCTTTATCAAAGTGCCATCCATGTTACAGGTGTGCCCTTTTAAAATGAGGGGGAAGAAGGGAAAAAGATAAAAGGAGACAAAATGTTTTATTGGCTTCTGGAAGCAGACAGATTTTTGTAAAATCTCATAAATAGCTCTGTTCCCAGTGTATGGACTTACAGAAAGAATTTTTTTTTTTTTTCTATTTCTGCTTACAGACATCTGTTCACATTTTCTGGTGGGAATTCTGGGATTTAAACAGCCATCTGCTTCCTACTGTGGCAGCTCAACAACAAAGGGCATTTTCTCAACTAACAAATAAGAATCTTTGACTAATATAAAGGCACAGTTAGGAACATATGCTACTTTTTCCTTTTAACCTTAGTCAATATATTTTTCAGTCTATTTAGATTACACCAATTTACAAAAACAAACTGAATAAAGCATTCAACATTTCATGCAGGGAGTCAAAACTTTAAATAAAGCTGCAGGTGTGCAGCTATTGTATGCCTCTGCATGAGCATGTTGCTGAATTTTGCAGCTTAGTAAAGATGGAGAAATTCAGTGGGGTTGTACTACAAGTTTATTTATTTGAACAAGACAGGGAAAATGGCTACATGGCTTGTAGACTAGAAAGCAAACCAGACCAGCAGAAGGCACCTGGGAGCTGTATAGCTATCTGTGTCCTGTTTCCCTGTAGTCTGAACTAGTAGCATGCAGTATGAGGCTTGTAGGGTTAGACAGTTTCTGACATGTGAGCTTGTCTCTGCAATAATCAGATTAGACAGCTTTTATCATAGGTTTATGGGCAGTATGTTGTGTATTAACTTCCTATAAGTGGTACATATTAAATATAATATTCAGAAGGTCAGCCTTCCCTCCTTCCCCCTCCCACTGTGAGGGCATTCCAAGTATTATTGACAGTGCTTTGTATTATGTGAATAATCATATTACACTTCCAAGATATAATCTATCCCCGAGCCATAAAGAAGACCTCTAAGGATTAATTCTGTGACAGACCTCCATTTAAAGTAAGTAGCATGTGCATTATATATACTTAATGAATTGAAATGATGCTGTAAGTTACTGTCAGTACAGAGGAGATTAAAACAGAGAAGAACTAAAATGATCCAGAAGAATTAACAGTGATAAAAAGAGGATATAATACAAGGTCACATACAAGAATTTCTGCCATACAGCAGGCATTTATTAAATAGAAGCTATATCTGTCTGAATCATTCTGATTCTGGAATGCAATTTTAAGTTGCACCCAGAAATGTTTTTCCACTAGTCACATACAGGACATCTGTGACCTTTGTGATGTAGTGTATGTTGATTTTGTTACTGCACTTGGGAAATATAAATTCCAAACAAACAAGAGGAGATAAAAGGCTAGTCAGACTAGTGGACACTTTTACTTACAGTACTTACATTTTACTTAAAATGATGTTATCACTGGCTAACAGGAGGTTAAAAAGACATGACCATACTCTCAATACATTCAGTGGGGAACAAGCAGTAAGAAGAGTAAATGTGAAGTAGTCAGGAAGGAGATGTTGACACACAAGAGCAATAGGTGTAAACTAGTTATGAAAGAAATTTTTAAAGGGTATTTCATTCTGGAATAATTTTTTAGTAAGAGTAGTATAAACAAGAAACAGCAGCCTTCAGAGAGACTTCAATCAGTTTATTAATGGGATTAAATAATATATTTTATGACAATGACCCACAGTGGCTCCTCATCAGAATCACTCCTGCGCTATTCTAATCTCGAGAAAGACTGAGAAATTATTTTTGATGGACTTGCCTTCAGAACATCAAGATACATTTGTTGTCTGTTGTGACGTTGTCTACCATAGTTTTCAACCTTTCTCTCCTCTTCTTTCCCTTTTTTCCTTTTCTTTTTTTCCTTTTTTTTTCCCACCTTTTTTGTAGGCTCCATTTGCGGTTATACAACTTCTCTCCAACAAACATTCCAAGGTTTTTTTGGAATGTGTCTACTCTCCTTCCTGCACCTGCTCTTCTTAGCCAGCACCACAAAACTAGGTTCCTACCACATTAAAACTTATACTTGTGTTGCTGTGGTAAGTTTCTGTGACACATATCCATACTTCAGCAATACCTAGTTTTTTAAAAAAATGAAATGAAGCCCATCTTAGTATGCCAAATTTTAAAATGTATAAATCTGTGATGTTACTGAGGACAAAACCTACGCCGTCCACCCATTTTCTGAACTTGACCTTGGCAAACAAAATCCAATACAGAACCTTGAAATGCAGTCAAAGTTCTCTAAATGAAAGGGCTTTTTGTTACAAATTTCAGTAAGTCTGCTTTTATGGACTACTATCGGGGCACAAAGATTGAAGAACCATGGCCAGACTTATGTGAAAGGTCAGTTGAAGAAAAATTATTTTCTTTTCTTGGCTCTCAAACTACCTGTAGGAAGGTCATAGAATTGAGCTTTGTGTTGTCACTCCAAAGCATCCTATTGCTGGAAATTTCTACATTTTTCCAGACTGACTTCAGTTATGAGCGACATCAGTTCTACCACTATTAGAGGACCACCTAAGAGAAGAGACATCCCTATTCTGCTTGGGAATGGGCACATAGCCTGGAGATCTGGAAGCTGTTATTGGCTTCTGAGGAGTTAGCTGGGATCTTATAAAAGCACTGAGCCCTTCAAAGACCTGCTGTTTTCTTACCAATAAGATCACCTAAAAATAATAATTAATTTTTAGCTCTTGGCCTCTGTTATTCAAAAATTATCTTTCTCCCTGTCCACTAAAAACCTTATGGCAAGTGGAACAGCTTGTCAGTCAGAAGACTATTCATTCTCTAATCACTTAATCACTGGATGTTGGCCAGAGGGTCTTGAGACCCCCCTGCTCCCACTGGTATTAGAGCTAGAAGATCAGGTACCATCTCCTGTCTAGGTACATCTCTTTGGTACTGGGCCTGGGGAGAGGAAATGGGAAAAGTGACCTCTTTACTGCACATGCAATAAACAAAAAAATTTAGGAGGGAAATGGTAGCATCTGTTTCAATAAGCAAAACAAGACAATTTAAAAGGAAAAAAAAAAAGAAAAAGGCTCAAAAGAATTAAAAGTACTATCAGATGAGACTAGTCCAAGATACTGCTGGGATCCATGTACACACACACAGACCCTTACACTGAATTCTGAGAGGTTACTTGAGATTAACTGTCATTTCAAAACCAATAAAGTTGTCCATGCAAATCCACATTTAATATCGTACTGAGATGCATTTAAAACCCATTAGAAAGATAATATTCATATGCTTCAAAGAAAGGACATGAAAAGAGTCGATTTTAAGAGAAATGAATCTTTACCAGTTTTACTGGAACCTTGCCTAAGGAAGGACAGAAAAATCATTTCACCATCTTTGTCAGTGCTGGCAAATGGAGCCAAGGGACCAAACTGTTTTGGCAACCAGGTCTTGGCAAAGAGGTAAGCCTTTGATTTCCTTCCTCTCAGGGAATTCCTCTCAAGCTGCTGCCCCTATCCAGTTAAATAGGTTTTTTTTCAGTGGATGCTCATTTGCTCATCTTTCCAGTACTGGAATAGACTGTTCAAGGTCTGTCCTAGGAACAGTTCAGAGTATAAGGTAACACTTAATTTGGTTTTGCGTAAATGCTTCCTAATACCTCCTGCTGAAATGTTTCAGGCCTAATCCCTTGCTGGTGACCAGAATCTTTTCATTAGTCTAAGCAAGGGAGGTTTGACTCTCTCTTACTGGTTTATCTTTGATGCATCAAATCAATAGAAGAGGGAGAGTCTCTTACACTTTAACCAGGTTTTGCTATCACAAGAAGGTTTATTTATCTCCCTAAACTCAAAGACTGTTTTTCAGTATATCACTTGTTATTCTCTCTAACTACAGCAGTCAAATTCTATGTGGAACAGGTTTTTGAAACTGACTTCCCTATTATGTTCTTATATTCCTTCAGTATTTTTAATTTTGGTGCTCTCTCAATGTTATGGTCTCATTTGCTTTATATAAGCAGCATTCTTGCCCTGCCACTGTTTTAACACTTCTCTGAGAGAGACTTATTTTATGTTTGGATGACTCTCTTCCAACTGTTCTTGCTCTTGTGAGTTTTTGACATATGAAGTAAACCAACCTTCCTTCAACTGTACTAAAACTGAATTCAGACACAATCTGAATGAAAGCGCAAAGAGAAAATTTAGTGTTATGACTTTTAAATGCAAAATATAGCTAGGTTTCTACAGGAATGAAAACATGCCCTCTACACCAGAGCTGCATAAAAAACGGTTCATATAGTTGTTTTTCTCTTTGACTATTCAATTCAAACTCAAAAATGGAATCCTACAAAACAAAGCTGAAATTGTGTTTAGAAATGTACCATTCCAATCCTGAGAGCTGAAAGGAAAACAAGAGAAACAGACCTTACTCCTTGAAATCTGGAGTGGGGAGGGAGTTCTCTCTCCACTTTTTCCTGTAGCCCAGAACTACAGGAATTGTGCAGAGGGATGAGCACCATTGCTGTGGGTGAGATAGTCTGTGTGTCAGGAGTTTAACTTAATTTAATGCCAATTAACAAACTTCAATTTACTGATTTGGGTACTGAAAAAAGATGAGAAGATAAACAATTAAACATTTACTGAAACATCTTTCTTCTTGCTTCCCCAGGCTCTGTTTCAGTCCAGTACCTCTACTCCTCCCTTTCTAGTCTGAATTTCTCTTGTTTTTACTGTGAGTTATGTTCAGTTCCCTCTCAATTCCCTCTGTGAGGCAACAAGTGGTGCTGGAGGCTGTAATCAGTCCATAATAGTTTCTATCAGCTGCTTCTCGCTCCTTACTCTATTTCACCTCCACTACTCCGTGCACCTTACTTAAAAAACAGTGTTGAGGTCACAACAGTTTGAATAAATATCCATTACAAACTCCACCTTTTATTTCTACACACTACGCATAATAATACAGATTTGCATTACAAACTTAAGGCCTTCTCTGTGCAAGACTCTCAGCCAAGGACAATATAGCAGTTTCATTACACATGCATTACAAATTCCACACTTTATCACTGCAAGGGGATATCTCCTTTGCGGGAGCAAGAGGATTCAGCCATCACTGATGACAAGGTCATCTTGCTTCTGCAGGTTAGCTTTTATGAGGGGAACAGCCCCCAAGTTATGTAGATCAATGCTTTCCTAAAAACACCATCTCTATCCCAGCAACATCACTTCAGTTGCGTCCAGGGGGAATGTAGATCTCTTATCCCTACTAACAAGCATTAGGACAAGAAAAAACAGCCTCAAGTTGTGCCAGGGAAGGTTTAGATTGAATTTTAGGGAAAGGGACTGCCCCAGGCTCACTGTGTGTGGGCTGTGACCCGTCAGGGCTGCCCTGGCCCTAGCACATGGTCTTTCTCTCCTCATGCTCCTGTCCATGTGCCTTAGCTGGCCACTCTGACTGGTGTGAGTTTTGAAGTGGGTTTGATCAGCCAAAGAACCACCTGCAGCTGACTGCAAGAGGCACAAGGCAGCACACAGCCACCCCCTGCCCCAATGTATCCCATTGGGACTGGGGGGAGACCAACTCAAACGTCTGGAGAGTATTCTGTGGTCCATGGAAGGGGCTGTTCTGCAGCAGTCTTCTACTGGCAGCAAACATTGGCCAACTCATCACTAGAGGAATGGTGAGCCAAATGTGGTGTCACTACAGCTGGAGGAGTCTCTTCCATGGTCCAGACAACAATCTTGTGAAATGACAGAAACTGAAGGAATGACAAGGGAAGCTGTGGGAGCCCTTGGTCAGCAGTGGTGCAGTCTGAGGTACAGAAGGTAAAGCACAATATAGAGAACTGTCCATACAGCCATTTCAGTTCAAAGGTCTGGTGCAATAAAAAGGAAACAGCCAGCAATAAAAAGATTGGGGGAACATGGATCTTTTCATCAAATCTATGCTTGTGTTTTCCTTCTGCAGTTTCATAAAATTATTTTAGTTATAGTTTTTAGATGACAAGATACTTTTTCTCACTAGGCCTATTTTTTGTTGGTAGCTCCTAAGTGAGTCCCAAGCTGAGTGCTCCTTGCAGACCACAACACAGGCTGCAGAGTAGTCCTGTGCAATTTCATTCTCTGCCCTGACTCTTTGGGAGGCAATGACAAACTTTTGTCTTAACTTGGCTGTCAACAAAATTGGATCCTTACTTACCAAGAGTGATGTAGTCTTTTAGGCTGCACTCTTATTGATCCTATTAGCTTTCTTAGCAATTCATGAATATTTATGATAACATACCAGCTGCACAGTTTACTGGTTCCCTTAGAGAGAAAGTGGAATTAAATTGGACATAGTTCAGTGACTTAAAGGCATCAAATATTTTCCAAGCTCCTGAGTGATGCATCCCAACAAAAAGGAAATCAGGCAAAAATGCCAGGAGGAACAAGGAGCTCTGGAAGCAGGTCCGTGTAAAAAAGGAAGCCTACAAGGGCTGCCTACGCAGAAATTGGCAACTAGGGATCAGGTTAGTTAAGCTAAGGCACTGATAGAATTATATCTGGTCAGGGAGACCAAGGGCTTTTATAGTGATAAAATGAAGATGAAGGAAAATGTTGGCCATCTCTGGAAGGATATGGGAGACTTGGTTGCCCAGGACATGAAGAAGGCTGAAGTGCTCCATGACTTTTTAACCAGTCTTCACTGGCAAGTGCTCCAACCACATTGTCCTCCTACTTTCCAAAGGCAAAGGCAGGGACAAGGAAAATGAACTAGCTGATGTAGAAAATAGTTGGTTTGAGACCATCTAAGGAACCTGAAGGTGCACAGGGCACCTATCTGATCAAAAAAATTAAGGATCCTGAGGAAAGTGGTGAAAAAAGTGGCTGAGCCACTATACACCATATTTGAGAAGTCATGGCAGTTTGGTGAAGCTCCTGCTGACGAGGAAAGGAAAGACAACCCTCATTTTTAAAAAGGGAACTACAGGCCAGTTAGTTTCACCTTGGAGCCTGGCAAGATCATGGAGCAGATCCTCCTGGAACTGTGCTGAGGCACATGGAATATCAGAAGGTGATTGGTGACAGCTAGCATGGCTTCACTAAGCAAATGTTGTCTGACAAATGTGGTGGCTGCCCCATCCCTCAAAGTGTTCAAGGCCAAGGGTGCTGCACAACCTGGTCTAGTGCAAAAGGTGTTGCTATAAGGTCCCTTCAGCCTAAACCATCCTATGATTATGATTCTGTGGTTTTAAACTCATGCATTTATGCTGAATTAATCCCCAAGTAAATATAGAAGTCGCATGCTTTAGCATCTCCTTTTTTCAGTTGAGTAGGTTGTCTAGAAGTGGTCATGCTGTGATCTCAACCTTAGTCAAATTCTGATTTGCTTAGCAAAAAGAAAATAAGCTGTTTTATAGGAACTCCCCAAGGATTGGAAATGCAATGGATTTTAGGCCTGCTGCAGGTTTTTCCTACTTTCAATCCTGTTATCTTTTTTCCTGAGAAGTTCAGTTGTTTCAAGTCTTGTGGCAAGAACCAAAGTGGGGACTATATCCTTGAATAGATGAGGAAGTGCCACATGCAGCTGTCTGAAGGCAAGGATTTGAATGCAGTTCAAAACCATTCCTGCACACTCCTCATCCTTGTGCCTTTTAGAGTTTGAATCATCAGCACTTAACTGAAGGGTTCCCCATGCATGCAG